TGTGTGTGTGTGTGTGTGTGTGTGTGTGTGTGTGTGTGTGTGTGTGTGTGAGTGTGTGTGAATGCAGCTTTAAAAATGATCTTGCATTCATTAGTCTGCCATAGAAGAGACATTTTAGGTTAGTATCTCACCATTAAAGTCTCTCTTCTAATGCTAAAGTTCTTCATTTAGTCATGACAGGATTCCATTATCCAACACACACACACACACTATATATATATATATATATACTGTATACAGCAGCAAAGTGTGACGAGATACTGACTACATAGCAGATACTAAACCTTCAAATCCATGTGTTTGTTTAGCAGTACGCTCATGTTTCTGTGTCAGGTCAGAACACATCAAACTGATTGAGTCAGCCTCTGAACATTACAAATGATTCATAACACACCCAGGCTTTTTAGAACCACACTTAAAACAGCCATGTGGTTCTTTAAAGCCTATTTAAATATTTGCCCCTTTTGCAGACATTCTGTTCCACAGTATGGATCAGTAAACTACATAATGTTTCTGTGTCGTGTCTCTTTTTTTACACAGGGATTGATAGTCCGGAGGATTTATGTACTCTGTACTCTAACAGAGCAGCTTGCTACCTTAAAGATGGCAACAGTCAAGAGTGCATACAGGACTGCACGAGGTGAGAGACTTTACTCACTGATCTCGTAATATTGTGTGAATACGTGGAGTGGGAAGTAATGTTAGTTGTGCGTGTCAATCCAAATGTTTTAAATTGACACTGGGTGCCATGAGAATCCAGCACAACTTCCCAATGTGTTTTGCAGTCATTTAACATCCTTTAACATACCAAACTAGCAGATCACTATTGTTTTATGAGGGGGTTTGCACTGAGGTCTGTTGTAAGGGATTGCCATTGATCTCTTTAGAAGTTGTATAAGTAGTGAACTCAGGATAACTTGAGGGAACCTCCCATGTGAAAGCCTTTCAATGCACATGTTTGCTTAAGATTCAGCTTCAAGGGCAAACAGGAAAATTGAGTTTTGTAACAGTTTACTCACACATACACAACAGTACACCAATACATGAGTACTCTATACTTAATAAGCACAAGAACACTTCCGATTTGAAATCTGTCACAGTACTCTCAGACAGTCGCATCTGCAGCAAAAGCAGCAGACTTGATCCTTTGCTCCTGTCTCATCACATCTATTTATACCAACCAGAGCCCTGGAGATGCAGCCATTCTCCCTCAAGCCTATCCTGCGCCGGGCCATGGCTTACGAGTCCCTGGAGCGCTACCGGAAGGCCTACGTGGATTACAAGACCGTCCTGCAGATAGACTCCGGCGTGCCGGCGGCGCACGACAGCGTCAACAGGTATTAGCCTTCCCCACGCACTTGAGCTGAGAGGCCGCAGAGTGTGCTCTATGCTGACACGCAGAAACGGACGGAGTGATATTTAACATCCCTATTCACATGGAATGGTCTCATTGGCTCCATAAACCCAGAATCTTACTGAATCTTACAGTGACCATGGCAGCTATTGACTGAGATCTATGACGAAAGTGTCCCTGCTATCCATTTTTAATGTTGGGTGGCGCACTACATCATTAGGTGTTTTGGATATGTTATCACTGCCTTGTTTAATATTATACTCATATTTTGAATTATTTTCTATGCGCTAACACACAAAGCCTACTTAGTGGCTAACAGGTTTAGCTGGTGTTCAAAAGCAGCTCCAGCTAATGGCTAATTATGGCTCTCAGAGGGCAACGTCCTCACGCTGTTATGCAATTGGAGAAACTCCATATATATCTACAAGATTTAACAATAAGATGCTTGAAACAGAAAAGAAAAAAAGCATGCTGTGAGCCTTTTTAATATCTGTGTTTGTGACTGTATTCCACTCGTGTGCCCGTGTAACATCCATGTATTGACTGATCGTCCTCCAGGATCACCCGGCTGCTGATCGAGCAGGACGGCGCAGAGTGGAGGGAGAACCTTCCGGACATTCCCCGGGTCCCCCTGTCAGCTCAGCAGCACCGCAGAGAGGAGCCGCCGAGCGCAGAGGTCCTCCAGGCTCAAGCAGGTCTGTTTCAAAAAAAAAAAAGAAAAGTCTGAACCACGACTGTTGAGTTTTATCCCCCAAAACACAGGATTTTACACTTACTGGTGTGAATTCTGTGGAATATTTTTTGTGTTACAAAGTCTCGACAAGTCACATGCTGACAGTGTTTTGAGGCTCCCTTGTAAACCTTGAACTTATTATAACATCTGGATTAATAGTGGGACATTAAATATGGGTTTCTGAAGCCCATATTTCTCCCTGAGCTGGGAAATGACAGTGTGAGAAGCCTTAAAGGGACAGTTCGGATTATTTGAATTGGTTCTTATGAGGTTCTTATCCACAGTCAGTGCTTTAGCTTCAGTAGATGGCGGTCGGCACGCCCCCAGTTTGGTAGAACAGACAGGAGTACCAACACATGATTAAAGCAATGTATTGGCTGTGGACGAGGGCAGCAGCAAAAACAACAGTAAAATACTAAGGACACATAAAGCAATAATCATTGTCCAGTTATGAAACAGTTTGACATCCACGACGAAAATTTAATTTGCTTTATTTTGCTCAAAATAAATAGCATACTTTTACTTCGGTGGTGGTTTGCTCAGCTTAAGGATCTGAGTTGTTCTTCTGCTTCACATCGAGATAGAGGAACAGAAGAGAATAGACACTTTTTGACCACCAAAATTCAGCTTGTGTCACTTTGTCGTTCACTCTGTGGTGAAGGCTGGAGGAGAATGTTAGACCTCATCTTTTTTAGAAGTGGATGTGTCACCTCTGCTCACTGACCAAGCACTTTGTCCTATTTCCGGTTATTTTTAAACTGTAATGGAAGAATAGACCTGCTGGCACACTTATTCCTCCCAGAAGAGGCGGATCGATTAGTCCTTAGTCCACACCGTGCCTGATTGCTGACTCTCATGCATCAAATCTAGCTAGTACAGCATTCATCCTAAGGGTTTAACCCTCAAGCTTCATAGCAGAGAAGACTGGCATTTTCCCTTGTGTTAGCTTTTCCTAGAAGTAAAAGGGAGGTCAATTGACATGTATTGCAAGTGTCAATGTGGATTCAGTGCTTCAACAGAAAGGAGAATTGAATTGCTCTTCATGTGAGTAACCACCACTTTACTTTGTGTTCCAGAGAGGAAAGCAGAAGTCCAATTCACGGCGTTGAAGCAAGAGGGGAATGAGTTTGTGAAGAAGGGCCAATACCAGGACGCACTGGGAAAGTACACCGAATGCCTTAAGCTAAAGCCGGAAGAGTGTGCTATCTACACCAACAGGTTAGAGGCTCTGTCCCGCCTCCGCATGAACAAGCTCAGACACACCGTGGTCCCTTCCACATTCTGTTCCTCATACTCGCCGCAGTTTATTTCCTAATAAAGCAGGAATGTCAGAACACACCCAGAAAAATCGACATGTTCCTTTTGGATAAATACAAACAGACTGGTGAATTACCCCCGGTAGTAAATCAGCATGTATTGTTGAGTAAGTCGGAACAGAACGGCATAGCTGCCCGCTTCAGCGCCGTTCATCACGACTCCATTCATAACCACTATCATATTATCCTCACCTAAAGAGATAGTGTGCATGCAGCAGGCAGGGCTGACGACCTTTCTCATTCACAATGGTAGGTCAATTGTTGATCATGTCAAAGAGGAAACCCGGACAAGAACAGTGTCCTATTGTGTGTTCATGTGTTGAGCTCTGCTGTGGAAAAGATTGTATGTATAGCCACACCAGAGCAAACACACATCCGCTGAGACTGAAAACACTGAACACATTTAAAGCTAGGGTTGATCATCTTGAGAAACTGGCAAGAATATGCTAGATTTAAAAAAACATATATCCAACCTAAACAAAAGCAGCCCAGTGTTCACAACTCTTTTCCAATGAAAGTAGCTAGCAGCGCTAGCTCCGAAAGCTGCTAAATCTAGCGAGAAAGTCGCCATGTCGGCAACACTGACAGCCCGTTCCCTTCAGGCCTCCCTCCAAAGCCACTCCCCCAAAATGATCATCATGTGACGTAAACGACGAACAAGACTATCGTTAGTTCTGACAGCAGCAACAAAAACAATTCAAAAACAATGGCCGACATCTTTACATTCAAAATTCAACATGAGGAAAATCATTGTCAACTTTGACCGTGTTTGAGCAGCAAGCATCATGATGTAAACACCGAGTCCTCTTCCTCTGGTCCACCAGAGTCCTGATCCGGTCCTACAGTCCTATGACAGCCACAGATACCACTTTCTTTCTTTTTTGTCAGATCATTCGATTCATTGATTGCTGTCAGGATGTAATGAGAATGTCAACAACCTGCCTTTAATGAAGAAAGCAAAACTATTCTATCTCGTGTCTCATCTAGTCTATGCCTCCAGCCTTTATTATCACATCTGACTCACAGCTGATGAGTCACAGACACATGATAGCTTTTAGTCATGCATCCAATTAGCTGCTGGTGACAAATATAAAAATCCCAAGCGATGTGTGTGTGTTTGCAGAGCCCTGTGTTACTTGAAGCTGGAGAGGTTTGCTGAGGCCAAGCAGGACTGTGACGCAGCACTGAGAGTGGAGCCAACCAATAAGAAGGCCTTCTACAGACGAGCCCTGGCTAATAAAGGTCTCAAGGTGAAGACAAAGAGAAATGCCCAGGAAGAAATGTGTTCATTTAAAACCAGGGGCAAATCATTTCATGAATGCCACTTGCACATATTGGTTGCATTCATGAAGCTGTATATTGTCTGTCCCTCCACCAGGACTACCTGGCGTGCAGCTCTGACCTGCAGGAGGTGCTGCAGCAGGATCCCAACGTGCAGGAGGCCGAGAAGGAGCTGGAGGAGGTCACAGTGCTGCTCAGACAGAGTCTGGCCAACGCCGACGCTTCACCGGCCAAACCCAGAAAGACTGTCCCCATCACAGAGGTAGATACATGTGGATTAGGTGATATGAGTGGAGAGGTTGGTTTAGTGGCCATAGTTAGAAGTGCTTGTTATCTCTATCTCTCTCTGCAGAGAAATGGTTGAAACTTTGCCCTCACAGGCTCCAGCTGCCAGACACCTAACATTGTGTACACACAAAATGAGGACTTAAATGCAGTATCTACTCTGTGCTGTGCTGCATTAAAAGCCAGTATACCTCAGACTAGATGACTGTATCAAAACCAAATCATTTATTCAAAAGAAGGTGAATTCTAAGGATTCATAAAGAGTTGGAATAATTAACTGAGGCTTGCCAGAATGTGCTCTCGGCCTAACAACACCTGCCTACTTCCTTCTGGCCTCTCATTCCGTTAAAGTCGGTGTGTTCACACAAATGCAGTATGCACATAAAGTTGCCGTCTTTCCTTAAAGCTTTTTCGACTCTCTCACATCTACCGTCATAAATCCGCGTCAGTCACTTCTCATCTTTCTCAAGGTTGAGGGCGACGAGGAAACGGCGAGCGCTCCCGACTCAGGGGGCAGTCACAGAGGAGCCACCGCCATCAACCTCCGGCCGACCAACGCCTACGAGTTCGGCCAGGCTCTGAACACAGCTCGCTGCGGTGGAGACACGGCGGCCTGTGCTGACCTGCTGGCCTCCACGACCCCGGAGACGCTCCCCCAGCTGCTGAGCACCCAGCTGGATGGAAACACCATCGGCTTCGTCATGCAGTCGCTGGACTCCCACCTCATGGAGAAAGACCCCAACCTAGTCTACCAACACCTCAACCATCTGCACACTGCCGACAGGTTCTCGGTAAGATATGGATATTATGTACCATTTATAGGTTTGGAAATTCGCAAAAATAAAACTTTGAGGATATTTCAAGGAAAAATGCCTTTTATATTTGATTTGTAAGTCCACATTATCCCCAGCAGCTGATACATGATGCTGTGTTTTCTCCAGGTTGTGTTGATGCTGCTGGAGAAGGATGAGCGTCGCCACATGACCCAGCTGTTTGAGCATCTGTCTGACGTGCAGAGCTCCGAGTTCACCAAGAACGATGTTCAGAATCTGGCCAACAAATACATTTGACCCGCCCGCCCGTTTGCTCCCCCGCTGCATGCGCCGCCACGCCACTACAACTCCTGGATTCTATGCAAAAACACTGCACACGAACTGAGTACACAAAAGGCGGGAAGCTGCAGAATGTGCCCCAAAGCAATACAGCGGAACTGAGTCCCGGTCGCTCCACTGGTCTGTGCTGTAAATGATCTGTACGTTTTGAGTGACAGGATAAGGAATATATTTTTTTTCTCTCCAGAACGTTTTGCTATGCAGATTTACTTTTGTACCACCACTAACCATTTGCATTGTACAACAGGCGGACATCGGGACTCTATGGACCTTTCACTTTAGCGCATTGATAAATAGGGTCCAATGTACAATGTTATGTAAGGCTACAGGCGAGTGTTTCCCTTCACATGAGTTTGCTCAGGACGGGCTCACGATTCCAGAACTGAGCTTGGTGGTTCCAGTCAGAATTCGATATCAGTCGTTTGATAAATTAACTTGTGTCCGACACAGCTAAGATCAGAAATGATATTCAGTGCATGCTGAATATTAACTAACCAAGGAACAAGCGCTACAGAGCGAATGTGGGTTGAAAGCATAAAGATAAAGACACAGTTTTATTATGACCACATGTTCTCTGTGGGAGACGTAGGCATGACATCTTATTGTTGTTCTGTGCAGTATGAGAACAGCATCTGTTGGACTGATATCTACTGACGATGTTGTAGGAGAAAATACAATTTGTAACCTTAAATGACTCCGATACTCTTCTGCTTTTTCAGCTATGCAGTTAGCAGATCCGGGTTCTAATGTCAAGTCACTCTCAAGGCTGGTGTTTAGTTTCCTTCTCCATAAGGAGCGACGTCAGTGTTTATCACATCTGCACATTCCTCCTCACAGCAGTTCAGCCAGATGTGTACACACTGGAGAGAAGCAGCATCTTTCAGAGATGTGTGCCTTAGATTTCAGACTAGGCTGGGTATTCATTTCTCATTTTGGGGTGATACTCCTAAAGGTGTATATTTATGTCACTCTGTAGCTTTTATCAAAATGTTTAATCGTTTGGATTTGTGCATCATAAATGCATTAATTTAGCCACATGCGTGTAACTGTTTAAAATCTGAAATTTATTTGCTAATATGAAAGGCATTCTATCGATGTTAAAGGGACAGTTCACCCAAAAAATACATTTGTCCTCTTATCTGTGGAGCTACTTATCAGTCCAGAGTGCTTTGCTGCCAGTTGCCTCGTCTGCATTCTCTCAAATACAATGGGACTGTAGGGCACTCCGCTTTTGGTGAAAAAATTAATTATAAAAACTAAAAATGACGGAGTAATTCAAGATTATCTACATTGTGAGCAGTTACATGAGGTATTTTTGAATTAGGGGTGAACTGTCCCTTTAAGTATTTCGTTATTGTACATTCCAGTCATCCAAACATCGTCTGCCTGAATCCAAAAACACTTTTTCAAATAGTTTATCAATTCTATATGAACGTACCAAATTAAGTTCAGGGTGAGAAGTTGGGGGTCGAGAGGCAATAATTTCGTGTTTCTCTTCAGCATTATATTTCCGTAGAGATGTAAACAAATGTGTACAGTATTCAGAGGGCTATTCAATGAACTGGAAAAATGTGTTTTCTTCTGTGCTGGGATGAAATGAAATAGTTAAATGAAATAGTTAAATAAAAAATTTAAATGAAACACCCTAATTATTTACAGTATTTGCATGAACCTGAAAAAAACAGAACGGGAAGCGACATTTCATTTAGATTTTTTTATTTTTCTGATATGCATTTACACGCATTTAGTAAAGCAAATTACCAAACAAATATACAAATACCGTATGCCATTCTGCACAAATGACAAATTATATCTGGCACTAGTGTTCAAATTAGGATCAAGAAACTGGAGTTTTGGTGAAGGATTGAGTAACCGAACCCGAGGAGAGAGAACAAAAAAACGGCATTTTGCTTTTAATATGGGGGAGGAACCAGACTCGGTGTACATTCGGTAACAGACATGGGTCAAAATAGCATTCAAGGTGCTTTCACCTACCTGGTAGAGGTTCACCTGAGCCGACTCAGTGGCCTCGACGAAGCCGACCACTGAGCAGAGAAGACAGGCTTAAAGCACACACTAAAGTGCTTGAAAACGGATTTTGACGTCAAAGTCTGCTGAGCAGCACCGGTCGGCAACGCAAACGGGGAAACGCGGGAAAAATCAACATGGAGGAGGAACCCAGAACCAACACACCCACCCCGATTAAACTTTGTGCATTGCAGAACATCGATGTTATAAGAAATACAGGTAACAGTGCAGGTGTCTCGAGGCCGTTCGCCAGCCTCGGATATTTGCGTAGCATTTGTGGCGCATGTAGAAAAACAGCAGTCTGTATGTCCGTACAGTCCTGGGGCTTGTCCTCATTCGTCCCCCGCGGTGTACAAAAGGACGCGCTATACTGGGTCTACGGGGACAATTCAAAGGTATACGATTTAACAAGAGCCTGAGTGCTGTCTTTGGTAGGCAATTGAAAAGTCTTCATTTACCATGTCTACCACAGTATGAATGGTGTGTGTGTGTGTGTGTGTGAGAATGAGCGTCCCTCCTACACAGACAAGACGGTCTGCAACCTAGAATGAGTGGTGAAGACACAGTGGAAACAAACGCAGAGAACACAAACAGCTTCTTGAAGGCACCATGAGTTAACGAAGAAAGATATCAGAGCTCTCTCTTACTCGGTGAGGCGAGGCCATCAGCCTGAATAAATCACCTTTGAACAGGACAAAAACATTTTCTTTTATACAATTTCACAGAATTGAACCAACCCATTGGTTAATTTCTTAATATAATGACTTTCAGCATTATCTTTGAAAACCGTGGCCTTCCAGAGACCGCTCTCTCAAATTAACACCCCCCCCCAACACATCATCACAGAAACCTAACGAGGCCTGGTTTCTCCGAGTCATTTTAGCGCTAAAAAAAGAAACACACACGCACACTGAGGGTTTTTGGCGACATCAGCCACAGGTGTAAACTCTGTGGTCACTAGAGAGAGCTGATAAGAATATCATCTCTCATTCTAAAGAATCTCACTTGTGTTACAAGCTGGTTTTAGCGCTAAAATGATGTAGGATGTTAAGCCCAGGCCTTACAATTATACCTTGTAGGGTTCATTTCAAACAAATATCTGGGGGAAAAAAAGACGTCTAAAAATAAATACAGACAAGAACACAAAGGTTCTTCTGTTACTAATACATTTGGAAGGGGAGAAATAAAAAACAAAAGGAAATAGTGAATCATATTGCCTGGACCCTGTTTTGAGTTGGCTTCTGGAAAGCTGTAACATTAAGATTCCCGCATGGTGTTGCATCCGCATGGGAGAGCCCAAAAAAAAAAAAAAACACTAGCAAAGAACCGGCACAGTGGTTTTGTTTGAACAACCACGCACACCGATAGGACAGCGACCCAATCAGTGGGCCGTCTCCGTTACAAGTGGCGAGTGAGTGAACCGTCAAAAAAAGAGAAGCATCGGGCGGGTCGCACAGGGAGAAACACCAGCGTTCATGACCTTAATGTTTCTTACATGGCTGCCTTACTTCCAAAGAGCCATCTGGCCGTCAGTGGACACACAGATCTCTGTTTTACTCAGGGAATAAAATAAAACGCAGATTAAACTGAAAGTTGTGATCGTTAGTTCAGTGGAGGAAAAGATGTTAACGAAAAATATCATCTGTGCAGCAGATAATTGAGATTTCAGATGTCGGTCTGTATGCAGGAGTTCTTGGGCTGCTGCTGCTGGGTTTGGGTCGGGTGAGGCGGTTGGTGGTTGTTGTTGGTTTCTTTTAGCAGCTCTCTGGCGTTGCTGTGAGAGTCCAGCTCAGCAGGGCACACCAGGTTGACATTCTCCGCCGTGATGAAGCAGAGAGGGGAGAGCTCCACGCCGTGGCCCAGGGAGGAGGTGGTGGAGGTGGTGGAGGTGGGGGATTGGGGGGCGACGACAGCTCCGTGTCCCTGCGGCGAGGACGAGGAGCCGGGGCAGGTCTCCAGGCGGTCGTTCTCCACCTCGGGCAAGGGGCTGACCGTGGCGAAGCGCGTGTGGTAGTCGCCCCCGCTGGAGCCGTGGCTGCAGGACGTCTTCATGCTCTCCAGGTCGGAGCAGCTGAACTCGGAGAAGTGGCTGGAGTGGGAGTCGGCCACGGACGGCAGGCTGCCGCTCAGCGACGGGGAGTCGAACTCCGAGGAGTTGGTGCTGCGCTGCTCCAGCAGCTGGGCGTCCATGTCCTCGCGCGTCTCGTTGATCTTGGTGCCCCCGCCGCCTTTCTTGCGCAGCTTGCCTTTGCTCTTTCTGCCCCCTGAGCTGCAGGAGGAGGAGCAGGACGCCTCTTTGGCCCACTTGGCGGAGGCTCCCTTGCCGTCCGAGGAAGCGCAGCCGCTGGAGGAGCAGGCCCAGCCGCAGCGGCCCGCGAGGGCGCCGTCGTCGACGCTGCTGCTGCCGCTGTGGTGCCGCAGTTTGCCGGGTTTAGATTCAATGTCAACCTGGACTTCCATACTGTTCCCATCTCTGGGATGTGGGAGGAAGAGGGAAGCATGAGACCAAGACAAAAAAAAACAATATACACTGTATTTGTGTATGGATGTGTGTGTGTGTGTGGGTGTGTGCATGTGTGTGTGTAGCATGACTAAGTAATGAGCCTCAAAAGGCTTGTTTTGGGAGCTTGTTGTAGCATCACTTAATGCTAAACGCTTCTTTAATAAATACTGGATCCTTTCTCATCAACAATAAAGACAACCCACATGCTCAATGAATATTTTAACCTTGAAACAGTTTAAAGTTAAAATAACAATGCTTTTCTTCTGCCAGTATTTCAACAGTCCTGATCACATCGGTATATTCACATGAGGTGATTTACTGGATGTCTCTGGGAGGACAGCAGCTACACAGACACACACAAACTCTGCCAATGAACTGTTTCTTCCTGTCTCTCACCTGTCGAGGGGCATGTAGGCGTTAAGAATGGATCCAGCCATTGCTTTGGTGCTAGCGTTGTCGCTGATTGTGCCCAGGCTGACGGTTCCAGACTCGCCGCTCAGACTGCAGCGCTCCTTCTGCACGTCGGCCTGCACCTCCAGCCTGACAACAATGTGGGGAGGGGCGGGTTTAGACAATGCAGGCAAAAGCTCCGTGAAGTCCACAGTTTCACCAACATTTAGAATGCCCCTGCCGTGCGTTTCTGTACCTGTTTAAGTAGTTGACCATGGCGCTGCCGGAGAGGCTGCCGGTGATGCTGGCCCCGGCCAGGGCCATGGTGGACGCTGTCTCGCTCAGGTTGTCCCTGATGGCCCCCAGGCGGTCCATGTGGCTGCCGCTGGCACTCAGGCTGCCCGTCAGCCCCCCGACGCTGCCTTCGCCTATGCTGGGGTTGTTCCTGGTGTCTGCCACTGACGTAGTATCTACACAGATGGTATGTTCATGAGAAAACATTCAAAAATATAGATGATAGATAAAAAAAATGATGTGGTCACAATAAATTATTATTATTGTCAATCTCAATCAGAAACAAAAGGCAGTTCTGTGTCTAAACAAATGAGTTTCTGAGGAAATGTAAATGTTCAAAATTTCAGCAAGGGGACATTTTTCTAATAAGCTGTGGGCTTTTGGTTTCACAGCATTGGCACAAAGAGGACAGTTATCTTTCAAAGAACATTTGACATCTGTGAAACCAGCAGCTGATTTCATCAGTAGTGCATCTGTCAGCAAAAAGGAACATTCTATTGTTGGCTGACGGTGGCGGGGACACTTCAGCTCACCGGTAGCAGCCGCCCCGCTGCCGACATTCATGTCATTCTCATCGTCGAATTCTATGCGAACTCCTTTGCCGTTCACAGCGGAGACGCCGCAGCCTCCGCTACGGCACAGGGAGATGGGCACCACGCCGTAGACGTAGGCCAGCATGATGGGAACTCCGATGCCTGAGGGGGTGAAAGAGAGAGACACCAGGGACATGTTAGACCAAGATGCTGTAAAAAATAAATAAATAAATAAACATTTTCCATTTTAATGTAATAGCTCATGCCTTTGAAAACAAACGTTTTGCCAAATGTGAACTCTTAAGATTAAACAAAAGAAATTCCTGAAGCTAGCAAAGTCAAACAAGGCTGTGTCAACAAAGATCCTGGGGCATGCAGAGCTCACACAGAGCTAGAGACATGCTGTCCAACAGTCCTTTGTCTTTCCCTAACCGCAAGAAAACATCAAGACAAGGAAAGATGTGAGGGAGAAATCTCTCCGCGGTGCTCAGAGTCTGACTGCACTTACAGTGGTGAAAGCTTTCTTTTTTCTTCTTCTTTATAACACAGAAAATGATGAGTGACAAACTCAACACTGTCCAAAATAAAATCACACGGATGTTTTCAATTTATCCACGGTGTACAATTACAACAGCAGCTGCAGACGTTACTGCCGGCAGAATGGTGCATCGCTCTAAACGTCGCAAGGAATTGTGGGAGGGCATTATCTCATCTCCCTTAAGGAAAGGATGGTCCCGTGTATCCTATGCTAAAGGAGATAAGAAAGGAAGCATTGAAGCACCTTTCCTTTAGCATTTAGAGAATCCAACCAGCTCTTAGATGCTTCTGGGTCATTTCACAAAAACACTATTGGCCGCGGCCACAGAGATGAAAAGAAGGAGGTAGTGGATGTTGGAGAATAGACTGACCGACAGTGACTGCAGCCACCACCGGAGACACAATGACAGAGAGGGTCACTCCACCAGCGATCACCAGGTTCCTCTTGTGGTTGGAGATATCTTTGCCTTCGTAGCGGTTGTGGATCTGACAGAGAGAAAAAGGGAACAATGAGACACGCAGGAACTAGCATATCATTATTATTACATTTTATATTTTTCTTTCACACTTTATGGTGGAGGGTGATCACAGCCTCGAAACAAAGTCATTCTAGTAAAAACAGAAGTTGTAGCCACCAGGCCAGAGTGGTGTCACGCTGCAGCAACCAGCCACTATGTGACAGCTGGCTACATCAAAGCATGTATACTAGTAACGGTGACATGTAAACAAGTCTGCCAGCAGCAGTGAAAACATTTTAAATTGAGTTACAATACTATCAATAGACAAAAAAAAAAAGCTATTAAAAACTGGCACACATCTGGAGACTACAAGATGCAGAAGAAACAAACCCAAAAACGTACAGTTGTTGAGACAAAAGAGTTCTCTGCCAACTGCTACCGACAAAAGCTGCTTGTTCACTATCATCGTAACATTGGTGTGAGACACGTGACCGGGCTGCATCGGTGTAGCGCTTCTCCAGGATACAGATTTAAAAAAGAAAAAAAGAAAATCAAGACCCGAACAGCTACATTCATCCGGGCGCATGAGGAATGGAGGTGATTCATGCTCAGATGTTTCACTCGTGATCACTGCTGAATATGGTCTGCTGTTGTCGGGAAGGAAACGTTTGTTAGCTCCGCCGGCTTCTTCTTGGCAGGCTCGAGAGGGGGAATTCTGGAGAGTCTGAATGCTTTCATTTCATTGTAATGACAGACACACACACACACACACACACACACACACACACACACACACACACA